CTCTACCTTCTCAACCTGGATGTCCTCAGCCTCCAGAAACACACGCGGGTTGGTTCGGCTCTGTGATTTATATGCGGGTAGGTTTTGTGACAGAGGGCAAATTCTTTGTGATGGGAAAACTTCTGCAACCTAGAAAAGTGATTTCCTTACCAGTTCATCTGGTAATTCATCTTCTTAAAAGCTCCAGGCAGACACAATTCCCTACGTGGGACTGTGAGATTCCCCTGGGGTAGGTGAGAATCGGTGCTGCGGAGTTATCTTTCGTCTTTGCTTTCTGACTTCTCATCAATTCTTTCGGAGCAGTGCAGCCACGGTTGATTTAGTGCAGCTCTCTGTTGATTTTATAACCAAGTGCTGACTGCTTGGGACCTAAAACTCTTGATGATTTACAGGTAGTGAGTGACAAGAAATCTGTAAATCATCTTCCAGAATACGAGAGAGGAGGTGGGCACACACACCAGCTCACCACATCCACCTGCAAGGAACGACCCCAGGCCTGCCAGAAAGTATTCTGTTTTTATGTCAAGAAGAATTGAGAAGCCATTGGTAACGGACCTACAATCAATAACCTTGGGGAGTACAGCTGAACCAAGTAATATTTTAATGGAGAATAAGAGGCTTTGCTCCTTTACTGCTTAATGAAGACTCCGATTCCTGCTTTTGAAATGGTCAAAGGATTTTTTTTAAGTTCCCTGAAGGTAAAACACACACACAAATGTTTTATTAAAGAAAAAAAAAAAAAAGGCCTTTATTGCCCCAGCCCAAAATGCTGAAGTTTGTTGAGCGCTTCTGATACTCATGAAGCTATTCTGCAACAGAAAATTCTCAACTAAGCGTTCAAAGATCTCTCTTTTTGTGTGTTATTTTTTTCCTAGATCTGTATTTAGAAAAATCTCCAATAACATGCTGAGAGTAGGAAAGTAGTGTAAGAATTCTAGGGGAGTCCTAGAGTTTCAGGGAGCTGACAGAAAAGGGGCTGTGAGGTAAAAAAAAAAAATCTTGAAAAACACTTATTTTTGGAAGCTGAAACTTAGTATGAATCTCTTACCATAAATAGTTTGCCAAATGCTGCCCCAGTTGTAGGGTAAGACAGCTAGAAACTTAGGATGTATTTAGCAAAAAGCTAATCTTGTTGGGGTTTTTAAAAAAAGATTTACTTAATTATTTGAAAGGCAGAACTACAGAAAGGCAGAGGTAGAGAGAGGGAGAGGCCTTCCATCTGCTGGTTCACTCCTCAGATGGCCACAACGGCTGGAGCTGAGCCTATCTGAAGTCAGCAGCCAGGAGTTTCATCCAGGTCTCCCATGAGGGTTCAGGGGTTTAAGGACTGTGGCACAGCTGGTTAAAGCCTGTAGCATCGGCATCTCATATGGGCGCTGGTTCGAGTTCCGGCTGCTCCACTTCTGATCCAGCTCCCTGCCTAACGAGCCTGGGAAAGGGGCCCCTAGACTCATGGGAGACCTGGGAGAATCTGCTGGCTCCTGGCTTTGGATCAACTCAGCTCCAGCCATTGCAGCCATTTGGGGAGACCACCCGCTCCCCCCACCGTCTCCACCTCTCTCTGTAATTCTGTCTTTCAAATAAATAAAATACATCTTAAAAAGAGAGAGAGAGAGAGAGAGAGAGAGAGAGAGAAATAAAACTGGGAAAATTGAACGCTGAATGTTTGATGACATTAGGGAATTATTGTAAATTTTTAGATGTAATAATGATATATTTTGAGGATTTATCTCTTAAAGATGTAAATAAAAATTTTTAAGATGAACTAATTTCATGATTTGGACTTGCTTTTTTAAAAATCCAGTTGGCCAGCGCTGTGATGTATTGGGTTAAGCCACCACCTGCGGTGCCAGCACCCCTTATGGTTGCCAGTTCAGGTCCTGGCTGCTCCTCTTCTGATCCAGCTCTCTACTATGGCCTAGGAAAGCAGTAGTAGATGGCCCAAGTCCTTGGGGCCCTGCACCCTCATGGGAAACCTGGAAGAAGCTCCTGGCTCCTGGCTTCAGATCAGCATAGCCCCAGCCGATGTGGCCATTTGGGGAGTGAACCAATGGATGGAAGACATCTCCCTCTCTCTCTCTCTGCCTCTCCTTCTCTCTCTGTGTAACTCTTTCAAATAAATAAATAAATATTTAAAAAAATAAATCTGTTAGTGGTTTATGGGTGGGGACAACAAGAAGCAGGATTGGCCATTGATGGTTGACACTGGATCATTGTTGAACTTGAGTGGCAGCCACCTAGGCAGTCGTACACTCCCTCTGCTCTGGCATTGGGCTGACACATTTGCTTCTCAACAGCCTTGTGCCTCCACTGGGGTGTGGCAGGGCCCAGAGTGAGGCCCTCATGGCGAGCATCATGTGCAGAAGACGTGTGGGTTGTGACAGCAGGGATGCTACCAACACCCAGACCAGACCAGCCTCAGCTGTGTGTAGGACTCCTTCTCTCGGTGGGTCAGAGGGTGTGCACTCCCTGGGGGTGTGGGAATTTCTGTTGGTGGGGGGAAGAGGCCACTGAGCCCCGAGCATCCTCCTCTGCTGAACTCACAGTGAACAAGGTCCCCGGGAGGCCCCCCAGCCCCTCACACACAGGAGGCTTCTTCTTATACGCTCCCAGCAAAACCAGCAGGAGGGCACCGGAAGGCCTGGGTTTGCGGCTGGGAAGCCTCCCGGTGAATTTGAACGTCGCCCCTAGGTCCCAGAGGGCAGTAAAATGCAGATCCCCACTGCACATATTTCCCTTTCTGCTTGCCCCAGGGGAGAAAGAAAAGGCCAGAGCTCTGTGAAATTTCCTTGCCCTTGGCGGCTGGGCCTTATTTCTCAAACTCAGAGCGTCACTCTCCTGGCTCATCCTCATCCTTAGCTGTTATCAGTCTCTCCAACCAGAAAGCCCAGCCCAAACAGGCTCCTGGGAGACATTCAGGAAAATATCCCTCAGATGCCTGGCTGAGGGCCGTGGCTTCTGGGGAGGAAGCGTGGCGACAAGGGCAGGCGGGCATCACAGACAGCCGCCGACTGGTACGCGACGCCTCCTGGGGCCCTGCACACCTGCTGCTGCCTCCTCCCCCTCCCCCTCCTTTCCCACTTCGAGATTTTATATGAGTGGGTTTGGTGACGATGAACATTCCAAAGGGAAAGAGGTGACAGGCGAGGGCCCTGAGTGGCAGCTGGGAGGGCTGTGCAGACAATTCGTCCTGGCGATGCTGAGGGATACCCGGGGAAGCAGCCTTGGGCAGGCTGATTTAGCACAGCAGCTCAGGAAAAGTAGGCAACATGCTGCCATAGCGATCACGTGGGCTTCCAACATCGGGGGGCAGGGTGTGAGTGTGGCCTGCCGACCTGGTCCCCCCGTTCATGTGTCCGTGTCGGGTAGTCACCCAGGAACCGGACTCTGAAAGTCAGATCTCCAGAGAGCAGCGTGGCTCTGCGCCCACGGGGCCCACAGAGCCACATTAGCTGTATTAGCCACCTGTATTAGCCACCTGCCAGTTACTCCCTGACTCCAGCCAGAGGCCCTGCAGTGCAAGAGGGATTTGGACTCATCCAAAGCAGTGAGGTCAGGGTCCCGGCCTTGTGTAACCCCAGGGAGGACTGTCCACGGGGCGCTGCAAAGACAGTGCTGGGACCGGGAGGAACAGTAGCCAGCCCCAGAGAGAGAGGCGGGAGCGCCTCGGAAAGCTGCGAACGGAGGCTTGGTAGCATCTTGCAGGCTCGCTCAAATCTAAGCCTGATGTCTCTGCTGCTGTAGCGTCACACAGAGCTGCCTTCCAAGCACCCACACCTGCCACCTCCCTGCTGTGGGACGATCCCATCGTGCTCCCTTTATTTATTCACTGGGGAGCTGCAGAGGCCGACGTGACAGGAGGCCCCTGAGCAGTTCAGGGACTGAGACCCCCCAGGTCTCTCTGACCGGCCAGGTTTCTGGCTTGTCCTCCATAGGGTCGCCTTAGATCCTTGTCCTCTTGGATTCTTATCAGCAGCAAAGCACAGGGGCCTGGGACCTGGGATCCTGCATTGGAGCAGGCTCCTGGGCTGCCCGCAGGGAGAGGAGCCCTGGGTCTGGACAGGTGCCTGCAGGGGTGTAGTGTCTGGGCTGGAACCCACAGGGCCTTGTCAGCCTTGTCAGTCTTGTCGAGTATTTTAGGCACCGTCTGAAGGGCGATTGGGAAGCCAAGGGATCATTTTGATGAGCAGGGAGCTCGAATCAGGTTCTGGACGCTTCCTGGATAGCGCGCCACCCAGAAGGCAATTAAGGACACAACATTGACCTTGCCAGCGAGCTCAGGGCTAAGTGATCAGAACACAGAGGGCCATCCGGCCCTCCCCACCAGCCTCAGCCCCCAGGGCGCCACATGGGTGTGCTTGTTAACCAAATGAAACAGTTTCCTGGGCCTGTAAACTGAATCGTGTTTTTTCCACCAGTTTCTATCACCGATCATGGGAATGAGTACGAAAAGGACTTGTCCCTACAATATGGTAGAAATCACACAATATAGCAAGTCCATTTTACCCCAACCCTTGGAAACCAGATACGATAAAAGTAAAAACCATCGTGCCCACAAACATGGTACCAAAACTTTGAAGAATTGCTAAATCCTGGGTCTTCTTTTGGGATGATTCACCCCTACCTGGAGTCCCTTACTTCCATGTCTAGGAAAACATTATATTTTAAAATCTATAGTTTTAAACTGTCTCTTTTTTAAAATTTACTTCTGAGACAAAGAGAGTGACAGACATAGAGATCTCCTATGAGCTGGTTCACTCCCCAGAGCCGAGGCCTGGGAACTCAGTCTGGGTCTCCCATGAGGGTGGCAGGGACCCAAGCCCTTGAGCCATCACCTGCTGCCTCCCAGGGTGCCCACTGGCAGGGAAGCTGGAATCAAGACAGAGCTGGCACGGTGACCCGGGCACTCTGCTATGGGATGCAAGCCTCCCCACGGGCATCTGCGCCTGCTGGGTCAAACACCTGCCCCTACTTGCTCTGTACATAATTCACAGTCAAGGAGCTGAAGAACATCCAAGTATTTTTTTTTTATTAAGAAAGTAAGCTTGACCTTAGCCACAAAGGTTGCTTCCACAATTCATGATTTTCCAGCGGTTGAGATCTCCGAGTGCCTAGACAGGTGCATGTGTTCTGTGCTGCCCTGGGCGTGGTGAGCTCATGCCCGGCCCCGCCCCTGACCAGAGTGGGCTAAGAGCCCCTCATGCACATCACGCTTCAAGGTTCAACTCCACCAAAGAGAACAGCAGCAGCCAGGAGTCACTGGGAGCAGTGACACCTTCAGGATTTATTCCCATCATATCCTACTATTATTCCTTTCATATGATTTAGCCAGCCGTCCAATACTTGTCTTACAGAAGACGGTATTTTATTTTATTCCATTGTATTTACTTATTTTGCAACCTTTAAGATGCCCAGGGTCTCCAGGAGAGACCAGGTGGCAGCAGTGTCATTTGGGCCACCAAGTCCGCCTTGGGACCAGTGAAGGGCACCAGAAACCTGAGCTGTCCTCCTGTCACCCCTCCCCCTTCCCAGCTGTGGAAACTCCCCAGATCTCAGAGGTTGCGATTTCTCCCTTGGCCGTCGAAGCTTACATGGATACCCAGAGGTCTTCAAATAGGGAAGAGACTGGGTGATGGACAAGCAGGTGGAACAGCTGCTCCTGAGCCTTCCATGGGCGATTCTTTTACCCGAGGGGATTTCCCCAGCCCAGCCTAATTTTTACTGCCCTGTGACCTCTGTCAGGCCGCTCTGCCATCTGACTTCTGAAGGCTGCATAGAACACTGCAGCTGCCAGGTAGCAAGGACCCACGTGCGACCCCAGTCCCCATGCACAGCCGTCTCTAGCGTGGGAGGGAGTATATCTCCTCGTAGGGCGGGGGAGAGAAGCGGGCACAGTCCCCCTCGGGCAGCTGGGACTCCTCTGGCCGCGGAGCGTCACGGCTGGACCTGAAACAGGAACAGGAAGCATAGATGCATCACAGTCCGAACCTATGCCCAACACAAAGCCACCCTCCTGGGCATCAGGCTGCAGAGTCAACCACAAGCCCTCTCGATCTGAAAGCAACGCAGCCAGAGGTCACCACCGTGCCAGCTGCAAAGGGGAACGTCCCCAGCCCACACACTGTACCTGTCACTGCTACCATCCACAACACACGGCCAGTCTTCATCACCCACAAACGCGGCGTTGCCTTGCGGGTAGATGCTATAGTACTGGGGAGGACTCGGCGCCGCAGCCACTACCCCCGCAGTGGGTAGGAGACCACAGGGGCTCGCTCCGGGCTGCAGGTACGGGGCGGTCATCCCCAGGGGCTCCTGAGGTGCGTAAGGAGGAGGGATGTACTGCACCACGGTGGCCCCGTGGAAGGTGATGGGTTGGTTGATGCCGGTGAAGACGAACGATTGTCCTCCTGGAGTCTGCTCCGAGTCCAGGGCCCTTTCCTCGTTTTCTTTGCACAGCTGGCAGGAGAGCATCTTGAACTTGCACACAGCGATCAGGATGAACGTGACCCCGACTGACAGCAGGATGGGCCCCAGGAGCTGGGTCCATTCAAAATGCGAGACGCCTTGGTATTTGATCCAACCCATGATGGTGAACGTGATGCCCACCAGTCCCAGGAAGATGCCCGAGAAGAGCAAGGTGGCCCCCGCCTTGTCGTCGTCGGACACCTGAATGTCGGCAGTACTGGGGGTGTAAGGGGTGACGGCAAACACGTTGAGAGGGAAGTCCTCCAGGCGCCCGCCACCTGGCTCCATGACTCCGCGCTCAAGGGCCGCTCCTTAGGGGGACGGGGCCGTGAGAGCCCGCGAGTCCCAGGTTCAGACTGAGGCTGGAAGAACTTTGGGCTGCGGTGGTTAACAGAGTATAACACGCCCAGGGCTGGACTTCGTTTGGAAGGATAAAGGTCTGGGAAGTGGAGCCTGAAGTTTCCTCATAAATTGCCCACAAGCAGAGGGCTGTGATGGGCAGGTCAGGGACAAGCCACGTCTCCGATTCACTTCATTCGCTCACTCATTTTAAAAAATGCATGGTCAGGTGCCCTGCCAACAACCTTGTAAACACTGCTCCCGCTGGCTCTGTACTACCGGAACCAGGCCTGTGGGAGTGCCTGAGCTAACTTGGCCACGTTCTGTTTGTCCTGCTGGTCAGCCCAGGAGGAGTCGGGGCGGACAGCCGTGTGGGCTCGGACTGCGTGTGGGTTCCTGAGGCAGCTAGGATGATGGTGACAATGACACTTGTCTTCGTCTGTTTCCAGTGCTGGACAGAAGACCGCTAACTGTATGATTTCTAGGGCAGATAAATTCACCGATCTGGAGGCTGAGAACTCCAGTACCCCGCGGCAGAGAGCATGCCATGGGGAGACAGGCTGAGTGGGCCAGCTCAGGTCTCTTCCTCTTCTTGGACAGCCGCTAAGGTCATCAGGGCCCTGCCTCTTGACCTCATCTGACCCTAATGACCTCCAACATACGAATCGGGGGATACAGTGTTCAGGACTTGACCTTTAGGGGAACACACTCAAACCGCAGCAATACTTCAACGTTAGCAACTATGCTCACGCAGTTCTGGGGTCCTGCTCCTTCTTGACCTGCCTTTTTTTTTCTGAACTTGGGGAGTCATTTCAGCCCTGGGAAAGGAAGGATGCCATTGGAAACCTGTCCATGCTGCACATCCCTGGCAGAGACTGAGTCGGCAGCAGGAGGGACGTGACGTGGCAGGGACAGGCGCTGCAGACGCTCCCCTCGGGGTGGCCACTTAGGCAGCAAATCCAACAGCTGTGACTTTGAGCCTGCTGCATTTTGCAACCAAACCCAAGCTGATTTAGAGAAGTAGCTTGATCCATGACAATGCACAATGTTGAACGCCAAAAGTTCCAAAGAGCCTGTGTTTCCTCCTCTCCCTGGTGGTGACTGTAGCCCGCTCCCTTTCCTTGTCTGTCCACACAGACATCTCTCAGCTTCTTTCAGCAGAGTTGAGAAAGCTGCCCTCTTGCCCCAAGGCAGGGCTTCTTAAGTGTCCCTTGACGATAAATATCACCTGGAGGCCGGCGCCGCGGCTCACTAGGCTAATCCTCCGCCTAGCAGCGCCCGCACACCAGGTTCTAGTCCCGGTTGGGGCGCCGGATTCTGTCCCGGTTGCCCCTCTTCCAGGCCAGCTCTCTGCTGTGGCCAGGGAGTGCAGTGGAGGAAGGCCCAGGTGCTTGGGCTCTGCACCCCATGGGAGACCAGGAAAAGCACCTGGCTCCTGCCATCAGATCAGCGCGGTGCGCCGGCCGCAGCACGCCGGCCGCGGCGGCCATTGGAGGGTGAACCAACGGCAAAAAGGAAGACCTTTCTCTCTGTCTCTCTCTCTCTCACTGTCCACTCTGCCTGTCAAAAAATAAAAAAAATTAAAAAAAATTAAAAAAAAATCACCTGGGCCACTTTTTCCCCCCAAAATCAAAGTTTTCTATTATATTTAATAATTTTATTTTTGTTTGAAAGGCAGATAAACAAAGATCTTCCATCCCCCAGCTTACTCCCCAAATGCCTGCAACAGCCAGGTCTGGGCTGTGCCAAATCCGACAGCCCAGTACTCCACCTGGGTCTCCCGTGTGGGTGGCAGGGTACAAGTACTTGGGCCATGATCTGCTGCCAGCCAGCGTGCACATCAGCAAGATGTTGGGTGGGAAGCAGGGGAGCCAGGACTCAAGCCAGGCACCCCACTATGGGACACTGGCACCCCAAGTGGAGGCTTGACCCACTGTACCCCACAGTTACTGTTTTTGTTTTTGTTTTTGTTTTTTTAGAGGCAAAATCCAAGTTCCCAATTCAGGCCAATAGAACCAAAATATACAAGGACCATCAGCAGGGAACCTTGGGAAACCCTACCCAAGGTTAATACCAAGTGCTCTAGGAGATCAGATGTTTTTCCCAGCAAAATGTCACTCCTTGCTTCAGGACAAACCTTGAAGTCTCCAACTTCACTGCCAAACAGAAGGAAAAGCAAGCAAGGGGCCCATCAGGTGTCTTCCTGCACACACCCTCCAGTAGCCTGGCTTGAGTGAACTGCCCTTGTCCCCTCTGCACTAGATCAGAGATCAAGGAGAACCAGCTTTTCTCTTCAACCATAAGATTCTCATCAGCTGCCCATTCTTCCGAGGCCCAAACAGTCCCTGACATTGAGATAAAAGCCAGGCTCTCGGAATTGTTCCTCTAAACCACGTAGCTTATGCTTCCATTTGTCTTTAGCTGCCTCCACTCACAATGAAGAGAATAACTAGGAACACGGAAAGAATGGGAGAGAGAGCTCAGCTTCCTGTACACAGCCCATGGATGCGAACTGGGAAGACTTTCAGAGCAAGAAGGCCATGGCATTCCCTGGTTCTTTCAAGATCATCTTGGGCGGCGCTGCGGCTCACTTGGCTAATCCTCCCGCCTGCGGCGCTGGCATCCCATATGGGCGCTGGGTTCTGGTCCCGGTTGCTCCTCTTCCAGTCCAGCTCTCTGCTGTGGCCTGGGAGGAGAGTGGAGGATGGCCCAAGTGCTTGGGCTCCTGTACCCGCATGGGAGACCAGGAGGAAGCACCTGGCTCTGGCTTCGGATGGGCGCAGTGCACCGGCCATGGTGGCCACTTGGGAGGTGAACCAATGGAAGGAAGACCTTTCTCTCTGTCTCTCTCTCTCACTGTCTAACTCTGCTTGTCAAAAAAGAAAAAGAAAAAAAAAGAAAAAAGAAACCCATGGCATGTAGTGTCACCTGTGGCCAGCGGCCATGAAAGTGACCAGTGGGGCAAGGACACAGTGTCCCTTGGGACAGCAGCCAAATAACTGTCGACTTCTCAGTTACACTGGATTTCTTCCATCCAGAAGGGGCAACACTTGGTCCTCGCTGGAAGAAGCACATGGTTTGCTTTCCCTGCCATTTATGCTTTGGTCAACAACATCATCCCTGGACCTAAAAAATGCCTTATATACTGTGATGGTGTTCATACGTTACTTTTGATCAGTGAATTGACTTCACAGCGAAGGAAGTGTAGCCACGGTCCCACGTTCGTAACATTCACAGATCTAGCGGTGTACCCTGTCACCCAGAAGCAGCTGACCTGATAGAATGGTGGGATGGCTGCTTTGAAGACTCGGCTGCAGCACCAGTAGAGAGAAACCACCCTGAATTGATGATGTCCTGGTGCCTTAGGAATCTCTGAGTAGGTGTACCGAGCGCACAGGATGCTCTGGGCACTGCTGCAAAAGGCAGGCAGAGCAGCAGAACGGGGAAAAGGGAGAAGGAACCCACGAGGCAATGAGTGGGGGCCTCGCTCACCAACTGCCCGGCGTGTTCTGGAGTCCTGCTGCTCCGAAGTTGATCCAAATGAGGCTTTGCTGACCCCTATTTTATTCTAATTCCTTGAGATCAACATTTTCAGTGTCCACAGATAAGTGAGAGTGTGTGGTATCTGTCCTTCTGTGCCTGATTTACTGCACCTAACATAAGATCCTCAGCTTCTATCCATGCAACTTCAAATGACAGAATTTCACTCTTTTTTTTGGGGGGGGATAATAGTCCATTGTGCAATACCACGCATTCTTCATTCAGTCATCCATCAGTGTACACAGAGGGTGCATCCCTATCTTGGCTATCATGGATAGTGCTGCATTAGACATGGTGTGCAGGCATCTCTTTGGTGTACTAATTTCAATTCCTTTGGGAATATACACATCAGAGTTACACCTGAGGCACAAGGTATTTATAGCCTTTGAGGAACTGTGCTACCATTCGCCATAATGGTTGTACTAATTCACATTCCCACCAACAGTGCTAAGCTCTTTGGTAGCATTGGATGTTTTTGTCTTTTTTTAAATATTTATTTATTTGAAAATCAGAGTTGGAGAGAGAGAGAGAGAGAGAGAGAGAGAGAGACCTTCCATCTGCTGGTTCACTCCTCAAACGGCCACAATGGCTGGGGCTGGGCCAAGCCAAAGCCAGAAGTCATGAGCCTCCTCTGGGTCTCCTACATGGGTACTGGGGGTCAAGCACTTGGGCCATCTTCCATTGCTTTTCCCAGGCCATTAGCAGGGAGCTGGATCAGAAGTGGAGCAGCAGGATTTGAACCGGTGCCCTATGGGACGGCTGCACTGCAGGCGGAAGCTTAACCCATTACACGGTAGTGGCAGCATCCCTTCCCCCGCTTTTCTACTTTATAGAGATTTCTTTCAGATCACAGGAATATGCTACTTGAAACATACTGACTCCGTTGACAGCTACCTACTGTTGAGAATACATTTGACCACATTAAGTTATGAGTTGTTTGGGGGAAGGCATCCAGAATGTATCTGAACACATTAGGGAAAAAAAAACAGTACAAGGGATACATTATTAATCCACAAGTGGTTTAGAAATAGGCAATTAGGATTTGTTTTGAATAGAAGACAATAGTCACACACACATTTGTATTTAATTATTTTGTGGGGAATATAGTACAGAAAAATCGATCAGCATCGTACAGGAAAGTTGGTATGGAAAAGCACCTGCAAGGGAGATATATGGAAGTGTATTTTCCACCAGGACAGATAAGTTGGAGTGACTTCTAATACTGCAAGGATGGGAAGCTGGGCAGAAGCGAAGGCGTGTCTGTGAGGGAAGCCAGTGGGAGACTGAAAAGCCTCCATGGACAACCATCGTAAGCAGAGATTGAAGGGAGAGGTGTGGTTTTCTAGGTGTTTTTGGAGGGAGTTCACTTTGCTGCTTATGGCTATGTATGATTGCGTTGTCAGTCGAGTTTTCCACTGTGTTTTTGCTATTGTTTTTATTTTCCTTTTCCTAACCTATGCTGATAGTTGTAGAGCATAACGTGTAAAATATCCCCATGGATGAAAACTCT